AAAAAATTGATATTTATTTTTGGGTAGCGATATTTCTTGTCAATCATTCATTTATACAATATTTAATTATGTCATGGTATAAAAATTACTGATATTTAAAATTAAACAGTTTTAAATATATTTCTTGTGAAACAATTTTTTTCTGATGTACATCGCTGTATTTTTTTTTGTAACGTACTGATATTGGATTTCTGCATATGTGCATTTGGTATACATAAAAAAAATATCAACACTAATTCATTTAAACGTATTTTTTTTATTGTGTTCCGTCGTCATTATTAATTGATTAATTTAAAAAAAAAAAAAAAAAAAAAAAAAAAGAAGAGAGAAACTCATTGAATTTATACTAATGTAGCCGACCAATAGCGTATACCACAATTTAATGTGCACTGTATCAAATATTGTGTAAATATCGTAAAAAGGATAGCAAAGGATGATAAAATAAATAGAAAATAAATAAATAATTTTAGTTAGCTCTTCCAGAGTATCATGGTAATGAAAACGCTCTTTAGGTTACTCAATTTGAGCAATCGATATAGTAGATTCGTGCCATTACCTTACTTCAGTAAATCGTAAAAATTTTTCTGTATCTAGATAGGTTGGTAAAGTAAAATTTAACAATCACCGTCAATAATAATAATCTCTGCAGTATTTCTAAAAAATGAGAATTTTGTTTTTTCAGTGATGATACTTTATGGTATCCTGTATTAAAAATAATAGAAATATTTTTTAAAGATTCACAAGCACAAAAGTTAAAATTACAACACAACAATAGTTGTAATAGCTAACAACTGTTGTTCTGTGAAAATTAATTTTTCAATATAAGGCACTTTTTTTATTGCAAAAATTGATTTACTTAAGGTTTATTATTTAAATTCTTTCACATCATCTTAAAAGTCACTTAATACGAGGATTATACGATGTTAATTCTATCACATATACTTATATTTGTTTGACTAATTAATCCCAGGAAAATTTTGTTTGTAGTTCATTGCCTTAATTATTATAATCTATAGTTCGAGGTCAGTGTATTAAATTTTCTAACCCAAGTTTTTGCGTATCACTTTTTATTTAAATTACAATGAGCTCTAGTCCAATAAATAAAGTTTTATTAAGGAGGTTGGATACAATCTTTCAGAGGGGTGGTGAAGCGGGGTCAAGGGTGTGGGAATCTCATAGCATTACCGACAGAATGTAATACAGCATATTCTTATGGAATACATGCATCCATCTTATAAACCTAACCAAAGTTTTCATTTTTATTTCCAAAAATCGTGATTTTCTCTTTAATTAGTATGGATACTGACAAAAGTCAGAGGATCATATGAATCTGCAGTATTTAAAGTATCAAAATATATTTTTTGTCGATTTTTTAACTATTACTAAGGAATGTCATTTTTAGGTCACAACATTGTTCCCCTAACAGCCCGTGTTAAATTGTTCATTTTTTATTTTGAAATATCTTAATTACTACATGGCTGAGATCGCCCAAAAAAAGTACGTTTGTTTTTTATAACACAGAATGAATCAAAAACTAAATTAGAGCCCCCAACTATTGTCGATGATATGTATCCAACCTCCTTAAGCATTTTGTTTTTATTGAATAAAATATTTTCTGTAAAATTAAAAATTTCGATCATAAAATTAAATAGATGTCCTCTTTAAAAAGGATTTTAATAATTAATATCTTATAAGTTAAGTGGTTGCAATCCCAGATGAAATGACAAAAAGTTCCTACTGTTCAAGAAAGCGGGTTTTCAAATAATAAAAATAAATAAAAATGCGAAATATGGGAAGAATTTTACAAAAAAAAATTTTTTTTATTTGGAATATAAAAAATCTTCCACAAAAGTTATTAAAAAACACTGTATGACTGGGCCTATAATATATGTATCATAGGGATTTTTATTTAGATTGACAGAATAACTTGTGTTAATCGTGAACACGAAAACAATAACTTTAGTGAAATATCATTAAATTTAGCAGAATCAGCTAAAATGTAAAAACTGGGGTAACTATTTGGAAAATCAATGCTCAACCGGTATAAATCACAACTAAATGAAAAATAGTATAGATAGACATTGAAGAAATCGTTCAAAAGGATTTTTGTTCGTAAAGAGTTGTTTTACAACATGTACGAGTTTCGAGTGAACACCTTAAAAATATTTTAAAAACATATTTGTATTTTGTCTCCAGTGGTTGTTCCCAGTGTTAACGCAGAAAAGCTGTCACATTGGAAGAACCCTTTCAAGCACTCAAAACTCTGAGAATTCCAAAAATAAAAATATTTTTTGAACCATTTCAAGTGGTTAAAAAATTTGGTTAGGATGATAAATTAAACGTACACAATTTTTATAAGTAAGTAAACAATATATTTACCAGTACAGTTATTGCTAAGGCACTTTTGTTACCAATATAAAAGTGTACGTTATCAATGATGGCTGATGAGCATGTTAAAATACTGATTATTTAAAAAAAAATCTATTACGTTTTCATTTGTAGTCTTGTATCAGTAGTAAATATTTAAGTGTTTCGATTTTCGCACCTGGAAACACTTGATAAAAAACGTACATTATTTGCATTTCCTCATTTTTTTTTTTTTTTTTTTGTAAAATGAGTTTATAAAACGACGGATAGTAGTAATCATAAAATTACGTCAAAAATCATGTCAAACGCTTGTTGCACAGAAAATAATAGTAAATCAGCGTTTCCGCTGATTGGACGAAGAGAAGTACAGTAAAAATACTTAACTTTTTTCAATAAAAATCAAATGTTTGATCTAAAGTCTTACATCTATAAAGTACATCATTAACAGCTAAAAAAATTAATTAAATAATACATATACGTGAAAATAAACATTTCAGTTTTCAAAGGTTTAAGAATCAATGCTGACATATGGCGTGACGCTTGAGAGGAAAACAAAGGATAATGACATGTTTTTCTTCTTACAGTTAAAAATACCGCTTAAATTTTTCATACGAGGTTAACGTTATCATTTAAATAATATTGTGATTAAAAAGTTATTAAAACTAAGTATATTATACATCAACAAACGTGAATTTAGGCCAACTTATGTGTATAAAAATGAAAAATAATTTTCTAAAATGTTAACAACAGTAATAAGACAGATTACACAGGACAAAAATTCAAAGACAATTGAAAAAAGAATTTTTACGAAACTACATAGATACATGTATATGTTTAAATTAATAATTCACGATTTAACTATATTTGTCATAAATGCGCTTGAACAGTATCGTACAATGAAGATACGCGTCTAAAGTTCAAATGAAATCTTACCTAGTATAATTAAACAAGTTTTAAGGTTTTATCACATTTAAAAGTTTTAGCGATGAAAAATACATCAGACGTATGTATGATATATATGCGTGTTACCATCTTTCGTGCGTTGCACAGGAAGCTGGGGATAAACGGATTTACGTAGATACAGAAGGAGTTAGTACACGAGAAAGTGATCCATATGTTTGCAAAAATTCATGATTACAAAAAAAAAAAATCGCAACCAAACTATTTTCGATGTTGAATTCACACACTTATTATTTAAATCGATAAAAAGCACAATACAAAAGGCAGTTGTCTTGTATAGCTGACAACGTCGATAGAAACATCTATAGTTCGTACACTATTTTATTTTCGAAGCATTCGATGCTCGAAAACGCCAAAAAAAAAAAAAAAACTGCAGGTTTTAACAATAAAAATAATAATAAATGAGAAAACTCGTTTGCATTATTGTGATTGCACTAATAGCTTCGTGTCTCCTTGAATTTTCCAAGACGTGGGAAAAAACGAGAGAACTACAAGTAAACAAGTTCAACGCGCTGAATTATGTATGTATATATATTATCCATGAACTCGTAACAATACGATTTGCATATACTTCGTTGCAACAATACCTTAAAGGTTTTTATATTAGCTCGCCAAGAGAACGACATCCACATTTTTTATTACGCAAAGTATTTTATAATACACAAAAAACTTGCTATCTTGTCACAAGCACCTTAAATTACAACACTATTTAATGACTGCTCACATGATTGGCACCACATGGATGTCCTTCTCTTTTTCGAAATTGTATGAATTGCATAACGTATAAGCTGCCACTAGCTTAAAGGATATAAAAATGATTGTAGCAAATTTGCCCACTTTATTATTGCTAGGAAGAAAAAATAATCGAAACACAAAATCATTACATTGGCTTATCAAGAAAACACTTGTAAAAATTAAAGGAAGTACGTCAATCGGTCTGTTATCCAGTTTCACTAGTCCGTAAAATAGGAAACAGACAAACGGAGGTCCTTAAAGCTAAAAAATGTGTCTCGATATCCCACGATATCTAAATTAATAACTGTTTTCATAAAATTTCATCACTGACAGTTATTTGTCCTCAAAATTACAAGGCAACATTTTCCAATGGTACAACAATATCTGATTTTATGCTTACTTTTTTGTCTCCTAACTTTTGTGAACTAATAACTCGTACAACAGGTATATCCTTTATGTATGTATGTATGTATATATATATATATATATATATATAGAAAAAATATATATAAACTTTATTTATACCTCATACTCGCATTGCATAATCTTCCAATATTTAAAAAAAAATTTCTCTTAAAACATGGTATACATATTATTCAATAATCGTTAATTTTTCGCATGATCAAAAATGGACGGTAAATACCTTTACTTTAATTGTTTTTTTTCCAAAAAATCTCCAGCACATATAGTAATATCTATCGTCAGGTTTTATATTATACATATTAAATAGTCGCAATGTCAAGGCACTTTGTTACTAACAACGTATCATTGTTTTACAAGGCTGCACACGGCGAATTGCCCTTTAAATTCCACCTTTACTTTATTGCTAAAAAATGCTTTGCTTCCGAACGTTTCTGTCCCACCAAATGAGAAAAATTTCTAGATGTTTTTAATTCAACTATTACAAAAAACAAAATTTGTAATACAACGTTTTACAAAAAAATAAGTCTGATGTACTTGTTTTTTTTTTTTTTTTTTTACATAAAAATTCGATCAAAATACCAAAATATTTTCTTCCCAATTCCATAGAAAGCACGAAACCGCGTCGAATAATCTGATACGTCATGGTATCTACAGGTATTTATCGGATGGAATAAGTTTGTCATCGAAACACATGAATACAAAAATGGACAGAAACGTCGTCACGTCTCGCCAGTAGTTAATTGACTCTCGTCACTAGACCCTGAAACTTGACGTTCTTAAACACACATCGTATTGCTGAAATAAAAATTTGTGGCTCTCGCCCCTCGTTCCCTTGCTGAGCGCTCCCACAATGTAAAAGGACTACAGCAGCAACACGGCGAAGCTCGCATATTTACACATACGCACACAATAATAATTATAATAATCATAATGATGGAAACAAAATAGTTTGATTCACGTGATCAGGCACCCCTTCGTCTGTTGATTATTATTATTTTTTTTTTGTCCTTCCTTATTAAAGTAAAATAAATGTATAAGGCAGACTTTGCGCATAAGCTCCGTATAAATTCGATGAGTTCTTTCATGCACTTATGTCCCGTGAGGAGTATTGACTTTTGTTCCAGCTGGCACGCGCCATAAAGCGGCGGCTGCACTCCGCCGGTTTACTCCGGTTCGTGGGTCGACTCGCGAATCCGCTGGCACCGGTGGTACTACAACCACGTGAGGATGTTCTCCGGCTTGGTTGGGTTGGGATTGATCAAGGACTGGACATCTTCCAGGATGTCGCTGCTGAAATCCTCACCAAGCTGGAATTCGAGGAAAAGACTGTCAGGGATTTTGGAAAAATCAGGGATCGCCGACTTGTCGGTATAGTATTGCACTCACCTGAAGCGAAGTCACGAGGTCATCCGTCGTGTCGATTGACAGATCTGGCGTATCCATGGGAGCTCCTTCTGAACGAAAGGTTTGATTAATAAAATAATCCACACGAGATGTTACTATGGATTCCAAAGCGATACCAACCGGTTGTGCCGTCCATATTGTCGTCGATATTCGCCAAAAAGTCCTCGGGCGTGTGCGGGCCGTTCAGAGGATACGCGGTGCCGAGACCTAAGCCACTATCGGCGCTCTCTTGTCGTGCGTGTTGTTCGTTGATTCCAGACAGGAATGGATCCATCGCAGCGTCCGTCGTGCTCTGTCTCATCACAAGTTCTTGCTGTAGAAATCAGATTGCCATCAGCACAAGGTTTGATCGGTGTATCGCGCATTGAATAGTTCAATTACTTACATTCAAAGGTAAGATTCCGTGGATTCGACATTATGTACAAGGGAGAGAGAGAGAGAGAGAGAGAGAGAGAGAGAGAGAGAGAAGATCGAAGTAATCAAACTGATTTTAGTGATGGAGAAAAAGTTGGAAGCATATTTACCGAACTGACCTGTCGCATGATCTCCTGCTGCCTCTGTTTCAAGCGTTCGCGTTCCATCTGAAGGGACTGAAGGCGTAGCTTTTGCTGGCAAGCTTGGAGCGTTTGGTTGTTCTGAATACCAGGTGTGGCTGTTTGCTGTTGCTGTTGTAGTTGCCAGCTTTGGGGCAACATGGCACCCGATAGAGGAGCTCTTTGAAGATGTGCCGCTGAAAATATTTGTGTTTCGTTTAATTACTTGTATGGTCGACTGGTAATTTTTTTCATTTTATTTTTTCTATCTAGATAGATTTACGAATACTGCGTTTGATAAATTAGGTGAGATTCATATTACGTGCTAAAGGTAATTTTTTAACTTTGATAAACTAAATTTTAGATTTTAATTTACCTTGGCATTACAAAGCTTTTTTTTATTTTAATTTAATTATTGTACCTTCCTGCGTAAAAAAAAAATTTTTTAATGTCTTTTTAAGTTTTTCAATGCTTGTCTTTATATGCGTGTGCGTTTTTTTGAAATTATTTAATCATCCACATATTCATTAAGATTCAATGAATGTAAGAAAAATTGACATACATTAGTAGATAAATAAGAAATAACTACCATGAATTTTGAGAATCCTATAAGCTTAGTATCCTTTTGCTATACCAGATTTAGTAAATCTTTTTAATTCATACTATATTTATTATGAGAATCCATATTTATTTCATTGATCACATAAAATCAATTTTAAGTACATTAATTTATCTTAAATATTTGTTTCATATGAAA